TTTATTATAAGCAGCACTCGCACACGTGATAAGCTAAGGATGGAAAGCATCCAACGATATTTTACCTCAAAACTACTTGGCTATGATTGCAAGAAAGACTACATCACGGTGCATGATCCTAAAACTTGACCCACTTTGGACAAGGCGACTTATTATAAACCTAATATTCTTCTTTAATGTCCTTCACAAAATATCATTCTCAGGTAACAGGGACATACAATTCGCACATGAAGGTTTTTACGATCTGCGTAACCAAACTTCCACAGTGACAACTCATTCTTTTAAGTCAACACTCCGTGAAAACTTCTTCACAGTCATGTATTCTAAAATATGGAATAGCCTACCCCTAGATGTCAGAACTTGCTCTTCGGTTACAAGTTTCAAACGCTCTCTATGCAGACTGTTTCACTCTACTGATTATATTAATAAACTATTTACTCCTAGAACGAATCAACTACTAATCTACTATAGCACCTAAAGGACGCACTTCAACACCCTTAGCAATCTAAAATCTATAAATAAACCGGTCGCATAGATGCATAAAAGACTTAGTACGGAACATACTGGAACAGTTCACCGGTAGAAATAGGACCTGTCACTCTATCGTAACCTTCAAATGCTTGCTATATAAACTGTTTTATCCCAATGACTATCCCTACCAGAACCCATCACTTATTCCTAAAACGCATCAGCCATTAAAGCGCTAAAACGCTCAGACTCATTAATACACATTATGACACTTAATAAACACTAAGACTTCGCATAAATACGTGAAAACACAACTACAATATAGGTAAACGTTTACTAAAGTATAATATACAATTGACATTAACATTTATACATGCATAAAACAGTAATGTCCTTTTCATGTTCACATACTTTCTCTTTCTGGTACTCCGCTGGTGTGCATAAACTCCCATTTATCTTCTGGTCGAGGTCGAAAAACCCCGCATCTAAACTGAAATGAAGATTAATCCCAAACCATTTATCTGATAACCACTGAAATTCCATGAACGATCCAATTCTACCATTTGAAGACGCTGGCGAACATGCTGTAAATGAGTACTCATGATCTGAAATGAAGAAGCAACTGGTTTTCAAACAGTTTTCAACATTTCACTCAACTTACGAATACAGCTCGCCATGCAGACACAAATGGCACAAATCGAGAACTCTGGAATCGACCTCAGCCCCATTCGATGCAGTAAAACAACACAACATGGCCTTATCAGGTTTTCGAATCCACGATCAAATTTCTTTCTTGTTATGGAACTACGATAAGACTGCTGAAAAAGTGGAATAAATATATCACTGATCTCAACATAATACACCAATAAACTTTAAGCCAAGGGTGCTGTTCACAACAAAGTTATATAGGAGAATTGACTTCAAGCTTTATTTTTCCCAGATATCTGTATTATATTCGAGTGATGGCTGGGTTTTTTGTTAATGCGAAGACAATATTTCTATATCTCTTTATATGCTACACAAACAGACTTTATAGCAGACTGTTCCGATGAACTCTAATGTCAGAAAGAACAACCAAACTGTAAATTCGTCATACATCAAATTATGTGTAATTTATATAATAACTTATCCATACCTGTACATTTGGTATATTCCTGCATGAACAGGAAGAAATACATATTATTATTAAGACAGCAGATGGGTCGTATACGCCGGAGAGCCTCGAATAGTGCTGAGAATGTCATGCACACGGAGATAAGGATTAGCTGTGGTCCCACACCCTGGAGAGCATACGTCACCGTTGCTAGAAGTGAGGCAGAATGATTGACAAGCGATCGCAGTGACCGCAGTGCAAAGCGTATCCTGAGTTACTTTTATGGTCACGTTGCGTTCTGCAAGATTTATTCTAGCAAGTGGCGATTGTGTTGCGAGATGTCAAGATGATGCCTTTAACTGGAGGGAATAGGTTGTCGTCGATGTATGAGATTGTGCTGTGGGTATATCTGTGGTGTGTTGGCTTTGCAGTTTGTTTTCCATTTCAGCTTTGTCCGTGTGACCCAAGTTCTCGCAATGGCGTACAAGTCCACGTGTATTGTTCGTGATGGAAATAAGGGATGGATCCGTTTTTTCCGGGGAGTGTCAATGTAGTTCAAGATTGAACGATTAATTCATGGTTGTTTGCTCAAAGCCAACTGCCCCATATTTTTCGCGGAGTCATTTATCCACCAGTCATCGTCTCATCATTCGCTGTTCAGAAGGAAGATTAAAAAACTATCAGAAGTAATATCGTGATTTATTGTTATAACATTTGTTCTTAGACCTTCTTCTGTAATAACATTATCGTTGGTTATATGTTGGCGTAAGAATAAAGAATTCTTGAGTCGCCAATCAGTGTTTTGGTTTTTGAGTTTCTGAAAATCTTCGGGGGACAGCGTGAGGTGCAGCGTAGCAAGAGCCGGACATTGACAGTTTATGATACTTGGCCGACAATAGTCTTATCGTAAAAGTCCAGTATTGTTGAGTTAGCACCGCATACTAGGTGAAGTTAACGACACCTCACCAAATACCTTTTTGAATTTCCTGTAAATCTGTTGATTGTAGAAGTTTCCACCCAATTTTTCTGAGGTCTTTAGAATACCACACAATTGTGATGAGATTTCGGGCTAAATTTATAGTTGAGTCTCAAGATGTGTTATTGATGGTCGGCTTAAAGCCCGTCGTAGTTCCCTCATGGACGATCTTACTAAGCTCGTAATTCCCGACCTGTGGGTCACAGGTTCGAGTCTGGAGCTACCTTCTTCAACATGGGTGACTGGGCAGTAGCTATACTATGACAGCATGGCTGCCGAACTGCCCAGTCGGTTACTTTTTTGGACCTGGGATATATGGTTACATATGTGGGCAGTTTTCCGTTCAAATGCGGGCAAAGTGGGAAAAGGTGGGCTATTTTCTCAAATGACATGGGTGAAGTGGGAAAACGTGGGCAAATATCTTCTGGAGACGTGGGAAATGTGGGAAAATATGGGAAACATGGGAAAAGTGGGAGGAATGGTGGTATTTCGTTTTTGTTGCGCAGTCATCCTAACATCGGAAATGCATGAGGTGGGGAACATTTCAGCCTGAATATTACACAACATGTATTTAATCATTGGGAAGTTGTGTGAAAACAAATGGTGACGATTTCATTTCAATCATTTTGACACGTTTGTTTATGTGAAGCCTTACTTCTGAAGCCGCAATTTCAGATTATTCCTCGTGCCCTCCTGACCTAGTAAATTACGGTGTACCTGCTGTTACGATGCATCACTTGATAGGTGGAAGTTCACCTGCTCCATTCTGTAGTACCCCAGGTCCTGCGAACAGTTTTGCATCAAGTTCGCTCGAAGTTGATGGTACAGTAGCACGAAAAACAGCATCGAAGGATGTCCTTGAAGTAAGTTGTTTGTATTCCTTTTTGTTTTGTGTTTGAACGGTCAATCGTCATTTTTATGTTTGATTGTATTGAGTTTTTATTGTAACAAATTTTAAACGCCCATATTTAATTTTATTCTATTTCAAATATGTTCAAGATGCAATGCTAGTTGAAATCGGGTTAGATTGAAAGTGAATTAGAAGACGGAGGAAGGGTTGTCGTCTGTCTGTTTGTCTGTATGTTTTCGACGTAGAACTTTGCACAAATGTGCGGAAGTTCAAGTCGCCACGTTCCGTGTAGCACGCGAAGCAAGAGAAGAAAGTACAAGAAAAGCTTAATAGAAACAGTGAGCAGAGGTGTGAGACAAAGGAGTAATAAAAAAAACAAAATAGTTTCATTGGAGATCATAAGTCACAAGGAGTGGATGCATCTGCGCCACTGAGAACGATTTTGAGCCATGTCACCAATTGTTTCCGACCATAGAGTTTAACCGTCCCGAGGACCCCAACCTGTAAGGCTACACCTTCCTACGTGGCTTAGACCAACTGTTGTGGATTTCATTGACTGGTGCCAAGCTTTTGTTTGACCACCGCTAGCTTTTTTCCAGCCTGACCCTATATCCGCTAACATTGCTCGTCGAGGGAGGCGATGGCTTGGCATACGTAACACATGTCCTAACCATCTCAGTCTTTGTAACTTCACAACTTCGTCGATTGATTTCCCCTGTTTACCTAGAACTCTACGCCTAACCTCAATGTTGCTCACCTTATTATACCACTTTACACGGGAAATAGAGCGGAAGCACCTATGATCAAAGACAGCTAGTCTTTTCATGTCTTCCGCTCTCGGTGGCCAGGTCTCACAGCTGGCCATAAAGGAGGACGGAGCGGACTGATGAGCAGTACACCCGCCCTTTGGTCGATAGTCGGATATCTCGTCTACTTGGCCAGAAACGGCGTAAACTGGCAAATGCGAAACGAGCCCCCTGTATCCGTACTCAGCTGAGATTTCGTCAGAGATCAACCCGTTGGCGCTGGCTGATGGTACTTTCCAAATGAGTGAAGCGGTTAACGTGCTCTACCACTTCACTTCCTATTTTTAAACTAGGCGTCGATGTAGTCCAGTCCTGTAACATCATCTTGCATTTGGCGGGAGCGAATCACATGCCAAACATTCGTAGATTACAGCTCAAGGTGTTCAGAAGACTGCATTTTTTTCAGCGTCTTCGCCTAGAAGGACTATATCGTCTGCATATTCCAAGTCAACGAGATTATTCCCAGGTGGCAAGTCAATCCCTGAGTCGCTGAAGTCACCTAGGGTTAAGTCCATTAACATGTAATGTTCTCCTTTCTTCCCAGTAAGTCCATCCTACTGCTAAGAAAAAAGGTTAGAAGAAGTCAGCAACCCAGTGGCACACTTACTCTGAAATCACAATAATTCTACGTGACCAAAGCAAAATAGATAACAAGTCTCATTTGGGTTTACATGAAGTTGTTGTTTTGTGTTATGCTCACTTGTGCTATTAAGCCATGCAAGCGTATAAATGAATGTTTCTGACACTGCAAGAGATTTCATTTATTTCAAAGCTCATTTTAAACAAATGATGTCGACTGTAGCCTTTTTTAGCAAATGAATCCAGTGCACAAAAAGATGTTTATTTAAAATTACAATCAAAAGAAGGGATTATGTAGATTTTACCAAGAGATAGCAGCAGTTGCAGGATCATTAAACAACTAGGAGTGCTAGACAACTATTTCGTCCTTTTTTTGGAGCTTAAGAGTATGACTGGTTAGCTTGTTTTGACATGGAACTTTGCAAAAAGATACGACAGTTCAACTTGCCACTGTCTGACTGTCTGTTTTCGACATGGAACTATGCACCGAGTCGCCACGCTCCATGTAGCACACAAAGGAAGAGAGGAAAGTAGAAAAAATCAATAATAGAGACAGTAAACAGAGGTATAGTAATAACGAAGAACAATATAGTTTCATTGAAAATCATAAGTCACAAGGAGTGGATGCATCTGCACCACTGAGAACGATTTTGAGCCATATCACCAATTGTTTCCAGCCTTCATTGGTTTTTACCGTCCCGAGGACCCTAACCGGTCAGGAAGTTTACACCTTCCTACGTGACTGGGTGGCTTTAACTAACCGTTGTGGATTTCATTGACAGATGAAGCCATATTTTGGTTTGACCTCCGCTAGCTCTTTTCCAGCCTGACCCTATGTCAGCCAACTAACACTGCCCATTGTCGAGGAAGGCGATGACTAGGCATGCATGCGTAACACATGTCCTAACCATCTCAGTCGATCTAATTTCATAGCCGCGTCGATTGATTTCCCCTGCTTACCAAGAACTCGATGCCTAACCTCAATATTGCACACCTTATTATATCACTTCACACGGGAGACAGCGCAGGCACCTATGTTCAAAGACAGCTAATGTTTTCATGTCCTCCACTCTCAATGGCCAGGTCTCACAGCCATGAAGGAGGACGAGGTGGACTGATGAGCAGTACATCATCAGAAAATCTATGATGAAGTTGAATAGGAATATGGATAATGGGCATCCCTGACGGACACCACTAGTTGTCAACACTTCAGATGACAACTCGCCGTAAGTCCTCACCTGGCTGTATGAGTTCGAGTAGAGTACCTTGATCAATGCAATGTATTTCCTCGGAATTCCCTTTACAGCCAAGCATCTCCAGAGGACTCGGTCGACAGGATGGAATGCCGCCTTTAAGTCAAGAAATATAATGACTGTTGGACGCCGGTAGGAATTCCTATGTTCTAGAATCTGTCGGAGGGTGAAGATATGATCAATGCACCCTCTTCCTGGTCTAAAGCCTGCCTGGCTCTCTCGTGTTTGTGCTTCCCGAGCACCACTCAGTCTACGCATGATTATTGAGCCTAAGACTTAAGGTACTATATTAGTCAAGCTAATCCCTGTGTGATTATCACAGGAAGACTTGTCTTCCTTCTTGTATATGGGGATAATCAGTGACTTACACCAACCCGATGGGACTTCTTCTGATTCCCAGACGCTGCCTAGAACCTCAGTTAATGCAGACAGCAAGCTGTCTCCACCGTACTTAAATACCTCTGGAGTCACTCCATCAGGTCCCGCTGCTTTGCCTAGTTTCAGATTGGTGACAGCTTTAGTAACCTCAGTTAGGGATGGAGGACCTGTGTTTATATCCCATTCAGGGAGGTGTTGGATGTTCAGCAGGTTGATCGTGGCTGTAGGCTAACTAAACTGCTCCTCATATTGCTCTTTCCAACGATCCAGTCGTCTATCCTGGGAGCTAATTATAGTGCCATTTTTTTCGAGATTGTCTCACTGATGATTTGTCTTCTCCCACCCGTTTCCCTGATGAGTCTAAATAGTTGCCTGGTGTTGCCTATCCTCGAAGCTTTCTCCATATCTTTGGCTTTTGTCGCCCACCACTGTTCACGGTCCTTGCGGAGACTTTTCGTAAGTTTCCTCTTGTGCAGCTTTCGCTCCTCATTGAATTCGGAGTTCGCCGAAATAAGTCTTCTAGCATCTATCAGTTCGGATGAGGCGGTGGAGATCCAGTGGTTTTTACTCACCTTTGGATTTAACTTATTCACAGCTTTTACAGCTGTATCTATGGCTGCCGAATGGAATGTGGCATCATACCATTAAGTCCTCGATTACTGATTTGAACCATCCATGTAAGGAGGTGTAGACTGCTACGGTGGCAGCATCCTCGGGATTTTAAGAATCAATGACTAAATACCATTTGGTTATATGTCTCAAATCGTTCTCAGTGGCGCAAATCCATACACTCCAGGATCCACTGAATCCCTGTGGTTTTCCACGTAACTTTTCTTTCTCCCGTGTATTTCTGCTCACTATAGTTCACTTGGATTTCTGCTTTCTTCTCTTCCTCTACCTTCGCGTGCTACTCGAAATGTGGTAACTTGAGCTGCTACAGTTTTGTGTCTCATATTGAAACGCAGTCAGTCAACTTGTAAACAATGAGATGGATCACTGTTTCATGAAGGGGCTTGCGCTCTTATGTAGTGTTATGTGTCTTGTGCACGCTAGTTGTCTATGGACCATTTCATAAATTTTTCAGTAGTTAATGAATTGCACAAATACACACATTGTGTTTTCTGCTCTGTCGATGTATTCTAACGCATTATTGTAATTGGTTATGAAATTAAACGAGGTATTGAAGTTCCTTACAAGTGAAGAGGAAAGCGTCGGAACAATTGTCTGATTTGTTTGTACTTTAATGACTGGATGTTGAACATTCCTTAATCTCGTAGGTTGACTAGGATTTATCGTGTCTACTTTAGTCAGTATAATACTGATTTTACAGCTGGTATGAAAGCCTTATTTTTGAGTAAATAGGGGAGAGGGTTATATTTTATAGAAATATACAGCCTTCATGTTTTGGATATCGAAATTTGGGACATCCTTCAATGACTTGCATATTAGTGTGCTTAGTCAAATCCATAGACATCACTGCATTTTTGATGTACGGTGAAGTTAGAAAGACAATGAAAGCTTAGCGCGATTAGTAGGCCTTCCGGTTTGAATAACACAACTACGCCAAGGTGGTCCACTTAGCTACAAATCTTCTCCATCATTTCTGTCTGTATTGTGTGATTTACACTTATGCCGAGTTGAACATCGATCCGTCTGCTTTCCCACCCTTTCATACTTGACTCTGTATGCTACTGGATGAAATATCATTATTAAGATTTACTAGGATATTTGAGAATTCTAGACAAAATGTCCTCTATTTGTTGAATAGTTCTTTTTTCAGACAATAGGGTAATCAGTTCTATGAAAAGTTTGTTCTAATTGGTTGAACAATAAAGAATGGTGTCTTTGTTAGTGTAAGAAATGACGTGTCAGTCACATTACTAACTAATTACTATTGTCATCATGAAAATACGAACTCGGTACGTTATGAGTATCGAAAGATGCGCCATACAAGAACTCGTAGTTTGTACGAAGTTTGGGATAATACTCGTACTCACAGACTGGGTCAGGTGGTTGTCTTGAGGCGTTGTCACGTATAGGTAAAAATCACAATTGGTGGGGAACATGTAATGTTCTCCTTTCTTCCCAGTAAGTCCATCCTACTGCTAAGAAAAAAGGTTAGAAGAAGTCAGCAACCCAGTGGCACACTTACTCTGAAATCACAATAATTCTACGTGACCAAAGCAAAATAGATAACAAGTCTCATTTGGGTTTACATGAAGTTGTTGTTTTGTGTTATGCTCACTTGTGCTATTAAGCCATGCAAGCGTATAAATGAATGTTTCTGACACTGCAAGAGATTTCATTTATTTCAAAGCTCATTTTAAACAAATGATGTCGACTGTAGCCTTTTTTAGCAAATGAATCCAGTGCACAAAAAGATGTTTATTTAAAATTACAATCAAAAGAAGGGATTATGTAGATTTTACCAAGAGATAGCAGCAGTTGCAGGATCATTAAACAACTAGGAGTGCTAGACAACTATTTCGTCCTTTTTTTGGAGCTTAAGAGTATGACTGGTTAGCTTGTTTTGACATGGAACTTTGCAAAAAGATACGACAGTTCAACTTGCCACTGTCTGACTGTCTGTTTTCGACATGGAACTATGCACCGAGTCGCCACGCTCCATGTAGCACACAAAGGAAGAGAGGAAAGTAGAAAAAATCAATAATAGAGACAGTAAACAGAGGTATAGTAATAACGAAGAACAATATAGTTTCATTGAAAATCATAAGTCACAAGGAGTGGATGCATCTGCACCACTGAGAACGATTTTGAGCCATATCACCAATTGTTTCCAGCCTTCATTGGTTTTTACCGTCCCGAGGACCCTAACCGGTCAGGAAGTTTACACCTTCCTACGTGACTGGGTGGCTTTAACTAACCGTTGTGGATTTCATTGACAGATGAAGCCATATTTTGGTTTGACCTCCGCTAGCTCTTTTCCAGCCTGACCCTATGTCAGCCAACTAACACTGCCCATTGTCGAGGAAGGCGATGACTAGGCATGCATGCGTAACACATGTCCTAACCATCTCAGTCGATCTAATTTCATAGCCGCGTCGATTGATTTCCCCTGCTTACCAAGAACTCGATGCCTAACCTCAATATTGCACACCTTATTATATCACTTCACACGGGAGACAGCGCAGGCACCTATGTTCAAAGACAGCTAATGTTTTCATGTCCTCCACTCTCAATGGCCAGGTCTCACAGCCATGAAGGAGGACGAGGTGGACTGATGAGCAGTACATCATCAGAAAATCTATGATGAAGTTGAATAGGAATATGGATAATGGGCATCCCTGACGGACACCACTAGTTGTCAACACTTCAGATGACAACTCGCCGTAAGTCCTCACCTGGCTGTATGAGTTCGAGTAGAGTACCTTGATCAATGCAATGTATTTCCTCGGAATTCCCTTTACAGCCAAGCATCTCCAGAGGACTCGGTCGACAGGATGGAATGCCGCCTTTAAGTCAAGAAATATAATGACTGTTGGACGCCGGTAGGAATTCCTATGTTCTAGAATCTGTCGGAGGGTGAAGATATGATCAATGCACCCTCTTCCTGGTCTAAAGCCTGCCTGGCTCTCTCGTGTTTGTGCTTCCCGAGCACCACTCAGTCTACGCATGATTATTGAGCCTAAGACTTAAGGTACTATATTAGTCAAGCTAATCCCTGTGTGATTATCACAGGAAGACTTGTCTTCCTTCTTGTATATGGGGATAATCAGTGACTTACACCAACCCGATGGGACTTCTTCTGATTCCCAGACGCTGCCTAGAACCTCAGTTAATGCAGACAGCAAGCTGTCTCCACCGTACTTAAATACCTCTGGAGTCACTCCATCAGGTCCCGCTGCTTTGCCTAGTTTCAGATTGGTGACAGCTTTAGTAACCTCAGTTAGGGATGGAGGACCTGTGTTTATATCCCATTCAGGGAGGTGTTGGATGTTCAGCAGGTTGATCGTGGCTGTAGGCTAACTAAACTGCTCCTCATATTGCTCTTTCCAGCGTTCTAGTCGTCTGTCCCCTTGGCGGCTGCGGTGGTGGGTGGTTGAAATTAGGAGGTTGAAAGTCATCGAAGAAACCAACTAATAGACGTTAGTAACATGCTATCCAAGTTTTGAAGGAGGGAGAGGTGAAAATTAATTAATTACGGAATTCAATATAAGTTAATTGGTAAGGGTTAGCAACAAGTTATTGCATAATCAAGAAATTTGTAAAACAGCCATGATAACTTAGAAGAGTTACGTAAAATACAAACAAGTTAATGGAATTAGCTAAAATTGTAAAAATAACAAAGTTGAAACATAGTTACAAGGGGGAGAAAATCATTTCTAAAAAACTTAATACATATTTGTATGTATTTGAATAAAGCAAGAACAACAGTGCTTTGTGCAGAATAATATGGTACCATCATTGTCTACACCAATCAGAGGATTAGACACATCACACTAGTTACTAGTGTCAAATCAAAATACCATCATTGTTTATTTCGTTGGCTTCTCATCAACTGTTCACAGTCTAAATAAACTATGAGGTTTATGTACAGAGAAGTTTTGACATACTTGTGAATTTCTCATAATGTCAGTTGACCGAAGGTTCCGCAATTAGTGAACAGTGCTCAGAAAGTGGCTGTACAAATTTCTTGTTCAGATGAATTCCGGCTGCCTTTGCTGTATGTAGAAGTTGCACTTGTAGGGGATGCAAGAGGTTGGGCTATATATCAAAAACAGCATACATATGTCAGTAACCACTCCAATGAGAAAATGGGACCTGTTTTCGCAATATATTGAAGGGGTGGGCATATACACCGTATGATCCATTTTTATTTATATATATATATATATATCCTGTAAATATATATTTTTCATGCTGAATGTTACACTTCACCTAAAAGAATATAATTGGCTAGTTCAAGTTCATATGACTGTGTTACCTATTCTTTACCTTTATTGCCTATATTAGCAACTCGATGTACAAGTTCTATGTTGAATCCAGATAGACAGACAGACAGGTATAAGCAAAATAGGTCAACTACATATTATATATAATCTCAATTTGCACCTATCTTCCACATTGTGTGAATTTAACCTTGTGTATGTGTGCTCCTATATCTTCCTTTCTCATGTTTCTCATGTTGTGTGTTTCACAGGGATCGTTCAATTCTTCACTACAGCATTAAATCCATCTCTCCGCTATTCGATATTCTTGCAGATGATAAACATATTTTTATGTCTTTATGTACTACCACTTATAAATCTTGTCAGTAGGCCAGTGCCACAGTTTTAATTTTTGTATTGTACTCATTTATTTATTTGTTTATTTTTCAATGAAGGTTGGTCAACTCACTGCAAAGAATTTTCCCAGTCCCCCTGATATGTCACCGTGTAATCCTTTAGATGAACACAGACAAGACTGTCGACAACATCAATTTCAATCCTCAGGATTGAATAAACCTATTGGAGCTGGGAAAAAGTGGAGTAAATACTCGAAACGATTAAGTCGACTCTTTCGTCATGACAATATGATATTAAATCGTTCATACATGGTGAGTTATTTGTTGAAAATTGTTACAAGTATTTTTTCAAGTGTTAGTTTGTTGTAGGGATGTGAATTGTTTTCAATTTAATCATGGAGTGACATCAGTTGGAGACAGGAAGAGAGAGAGAGCACCTATTTACAGAATACTCTGATTCTAGTCGTTTGTTCCAATTTAGAATATGAGGAACACTTGGACAAAGAAAAGAGGAACTAATTAAGTAGCATAATATTTTGGTTTGACCTCCGCTAGCTCTTTTCCAGCCTGACCCTATGTCAGCCAACTAACACTGCCCATTGTCGAGGAAGGCGATGACTAGGCATGCATGCGTAACACATGTCCTAACCATCTCAGTCGATCTAATTTCATAGCCGCGTCGATTGATTTCCCCTGCTTACCAAGAACTCGATGCCTAACCTCAATATTGCACACCTTATTATATCACTTCACACGGGAGACAGCGCAGGCACCTATGTTCAAAGACAGCTAATGTTTTCATGTCCTCCACTCTCAATGGCCAGGTCTCACAGCCATGAAGGAGGACGAGGTGGACTGATGAGCAGTACATCATCAGAAAATCTATGATGAAGTTGAATAGGAATATGGATAATGGGCATCCCTGACGGACACCACTAGTTGTCAACACTTCAGATGACAACTCGCCGTAAGTCCTCACCTGGCTGTATGAGTTCGAGTAGAGTACCTTGATCAATGCAATGTATTTCCTCGGAATTCCCTTTACAGCCAAGCATCTCCAGAGGACTCGGTCGACAGGATGGAATGCCGCCTTTAAGTCAAGAAATATAATGACTGTTGGACGCCGGTAGGAATTCCTATGTTCTAGAATCTGTCGGAGGGTGAAGATATGATCAATGCACCCTCTTCCTGGTCTAAAGCCTGCCTGGCTCTCTCGTGTTTGTGCTTCCCGAGCACCACTCAGTCTACGCATGATTATTGAGCCTAAGACTTAAGGTACTATATTAGTCAAGCTAATCCCTGTGTGATTATCACAGGAAGACTTGTCTTCCTTCTTGTATATGGGGATAATCAGTGACTTACACCAACCCGATGGGACTTCTTCTGATTCCCAGACGCTGCCTAGAACCTCAGTTAATGCAGACAGCAAGCTGTCTCCACCGTACTTAAATACCTCTGGAGTCACTCCATCAGGTCCCGCTGCTTTGCCTAGTTTCAGATTGGTGACAGCTTTAGTAACCTCAGTTAGGGATGGAGGACCTGTGTTTATATCCCATTCAGGGAGGTGTTGGATGTTCAGCAGGTTGATCGTGGCTGTAGGCTAACTAAACTGCTCCTCATATTGCTCTTTCCAACGATCCAGTCGTCTATCCTGGGAGCTAATTATAGTGCCATTTTTTTCGAGATTGTCTCACTGATGATTTGTCTTCTCCCACCCGTTTCCCTGATGAGTCTAAATAGTTGCCTGGTGTTGCCTATCCTCGAAGCTTTCTCCATATCTTTGGCTTTTGTCGCCCACCACTGTTCACGGTCCTTGCGGAGACTTTTCGTAAGTTTCCTCTTGTGCAGCTTTCGCTCCTCATTGAATTCGGAGTTCGCCGAAATAAGTCTTCTAGCATCTATCAGTTCGGATGAGGCGGTGGAGATCCAGTGGTTTTTACTCACCTTTGGATTTAACTTATTCACAGCTTTTACAGCTGTATCTATGGCTGCCGAATGGAATGTGGCATCATACCATTAAGTCCTCGATTACTGATTTGAACCATCCATGTAAGGAGGTGTAGACTGCTACGGTGGCAGCATCCTCGGGATTTTAAGAATCAATGACTAAATACCATTTGGTTATATGTCTCAAATCGTTCTCAGTGGCGCAAATCCATACACTCCAGGATCCACTGAATCCCTGTGGTTTTCCACGTAACTTTTCTTTCTCCCGTGTATTTCTGCTCACTATAGTTCACTTGGATTTCTGCTTTCTTCTCTTCCTCTACCTTCGCGTGCTACTCGAAATGTGGTAACTTGAGCTGCTACAGTTTTGTGTCTCATATTGAAACGCAGTCAGTCAACTTGTAAACAATGAGATGGATCACTGTTTCATGAAGGGGCTTGCGCTCTTATGTAGTGTTATGTGTCTTGTGCACGCTAGTTGTCTATGGACCATTTCATAAATTTTTCAGTAGTTAATGAATTGCACAAATACACACATTGTGTTTTCTGCTCTGTCGATGTATTCTAACGCATTATTGTAATTGGTTATGAAATTAAACGAGGTATTGAAGTTCCTTACAAGTGAAGAGGAAAGCGTCGGAACAATTGTCTGATTTGTTTGTACTTTAATGACTGGATGTTGAACATTCCTTAATCTCGTAGGTTGACTAGGATTTATCGTGTCTACTTTAGTCAGTATAATACTGATTTTACAGCTGGTATGAAAGCCTTATTTTTGAGTAAATAGGGGAGAGGGTTATATTTTATAGAAATATACAGCCTTCATGTTTTGGATATCGAAATTTGGGACATCCTTCAATGACTTGCATATTAGTGTGCTTAGTCAAATCCATAGACATCACTGCATTTTTGATGTACGGTGAAGTTAGAAAGACAATGAAAGCTTAGCGCGATTAGTAGGCCTTCCGGTTTGAATAACACAACTACGCCAAGGTGGTCCACTTAGCTACAAATCTTCTCCATCATTTCTGTCTGTATTGTGTGATTTACACTTATGCCGAGTTGAACATCGATCCGTCTGCTTTCCCACCCTTTCATACTTGACTCTGTATGCTACTGGATGAAATATCATTATTAAGATTTACTAGGATATTTGAGAATTCTAGACAAAATGTCCTCTATTTGTTGAATAGTTCTTTTTTCAGACAATAGGGTAATCAGTTCTATGAAAAGTTTGTTCTAATTGGTTGAACAATAAAGAATGGTGTCTTTGTTAGTGTAAGAAATGACGTGTCAGTCACATTACTAACTAATTACTATTGTCATCATGAAAATACGAACTCGGTACGTTATGAGTATCGAAAGACGCGCCATACAAGAACTCGTAGTTTGTACGAAGTTTGGGATACTACTCGTACTCACAGACTGGGTCAGGTGGTTGTCTTGAGGCGTTGTCACGTATAGGTAAAAATCACAATTGGTGGGGAACATGTAATGTTCTCCTTTCTTCCCAGTAAGTCCATCCTACTGCTAAGAAAAAAGGTTAGAAGAAGTCAGCAACCCAGTGGCACACTTACTCTGAAATCACAATAATTCTACGTGACCAAAGCAAAATAGATAACAAGTCTCATTTGGGTTTACATGAAGTTGTTGTTTTGTGTTATGCTCACTTGTGCTATTAAGCCATGCAAGCGTATAAATGAATGTTTCTGACACTGCAAGAGATTTCATTTATTTCAAAGCTCATTTTAAACAAATGATGTCGACTGTAGCCTTTTTTAGCAAATGAATCCAGTGCACAAAAAGATGTTTATTTAAAATTACAATCAAAAGAAGGGATTATGTAGATTTTACCAAGAGATAGCAGCAGTTGCAGGATCATTAAACAACTAGGAGTGCTAGACAACTATTTCGTCCTTTTTTTGGAGCTTAAGAGTATGACTGGTTAGCTTGTTTTGACATGGAACTTTGCAAAAAGATACGACAGTTCAACTTGCCACTGTCTGACTGTCTGTTTTCGACATGGAACTATGCACCGAGTCGCCACGCTCCATGTAGCACACAAAGGAAGAGAGGAAAGTAGAAAAAATCAATAATAGAGACAGTAAACAGAGGTATAGTAATAACGAAGAACAATATAGTTTCATTGAAAATCATAAGTCACAAGGAGTGGATGCATCTGCACCACTGAGAACGATTTTGAGCCATATCACCAATTGTTTCCAGCCTTCATTGGTTTTTACCGTCCCGAGGACCCTAACCGGTCAGGAAGTTTACACCTTCCTACGTGACTGGGTGGCTTTAACTAACCGTTGTGGATTTCATTGACAGATGAAGCCATATTTTGGTTTGACCTCCGCTAGCTCTTTTCCAGCCTGACCCTATGTCAGCCAACTAACACTGCCCATTGTCGAGGAAGGCGATGACTAGGCATGCATGCGTAACACATGTCCTAACCATCTCAGTCGATCTAATTTCATAGCCGCGTCGATTGATTTCCCCTGCTTACCAAGAACTCGATGCCTAACCTCAATATTGCACACCTTATTATATCACTTCACACGGGAGACAGCGCAGGCACCTATGTTCAAAGACAGCTAATGTTTTCATGTCCTCCACTCTCAATGGCCAGGTCTCACAGCCATGAAGGAGGACGAGGTGGACTGATGAGCAGTACATCATCAGAAAATCTATGATGAAGTTGAATAGGAATATGGATAATGGGCATCCCTGACGGACACCACTAGTTGTCAACACTTCAGATGACAACTCGCCGTAAGTCCTCACCTGGCTGTATGAGTTCGAGTAGAGTACCTTGATCAATGCAATGTATTTCCTCGGAATTCCCTTTACAGCCAAGCATCTCCAGAGGACTCGGTCGACAGGATGGAATGCCGCCTTTAAGTCAAGAAATATAATGACTGTTGGACGCCGGTAGGAATTCCTATGTTCTAGAATCTGTCGGAGGGTGAAGATATGATCAATGCACCCTCTTCCTGGTCTAAAGCCTGCCTGGCTCTCTCGTGTTTGTGCTTCCCGAGCACCACTCAGTCTACGCATGATTATTGAGCCTAAGACTTAAGGTACTATATTAGTCAAGCTAATCCCTGTGTGATTATCACAGGAAGACTTGTCTTCCTTCTTGTATATGGGGATAATCAGTGACTTACACCAACCCGATGGGACTTCTTCTGATTCCCAGACGCTGCCTAGAACCTCAGTTAATGCAGACAGCAAGCTGTCTCCACCGTACTTAAATACCTCTGGAGTCACTCCATCAGGTCCCGCTGCTTTGCCTAGTTTCAGATTGGTGACAGCTTTAGTAACCTCAGTTAGGGATGGAGGACCTGTGTTTATATCCCATTCAGGGAGGTGTTGGATGTTCAGCAGGTTGATCGTGGCTGTAGGCTAACTAAACTGCTCCTCATATTGCTCTTTCCAGCGTTCTAGTCGTCTGTCCCCTTGGCGGCTGCGGTGGTGGGTGGTTGAAATTAGGAGGTTGAAAGTCATCGAAGAAACCAACTAATAGACGTTAGTAACATGCTATCCAAGTTTTGAAGGAGGGAGAGGTGAAAATTAATTAATTACGGAATTCAATATAAGTTAATTGGTAAGGGTTAGCAACAAGTTATTGCATAATCAAGAAATTTGTAAAACAGCCATGATAACTTAGAAGAGTTACGTAAAATACAAACAAGTTAATGGAATTAGCTAAAATTGTAAAAATAACAAAGTTGAAACATAGTTACAAGGGGGAGAAAATCATTTCTAAAAAACTTAATACATATTTGTATGTATTTGAATAAAGCAAGAACAACAGTGCTTTGTGCAGAATAATATGGTACCATCATTGTCTACACCAATCAGAGGATTAGACACATCACACTAGTTACTAGTGTCAAATCAAAATACCATCATTGTTTATTTCGTTGGCTTCTCATCAACTGTTCACAGTCTAAATAAACTATGAGGTTTATGTACAGAGAAGTTTTGACATACTTGTGAATTTCTCATAATGTCAGTTGACCGAAGGTTCCGCAATTAGTGAACAGTGCTCAGAAAGTGGCTGTACAAATTTCTTGTTCAGATGAATTCCGGCTGCCTTTGCTGTATGTAGAAGTTGCACTTGTAGGGGATGCAAGAGGTTGGGCTATATATCAAAAACAGCATACATATGTCAGTAACCACTCCAATGAGAAAATGGGACCTGTTTTCGCAATATATTGAAGGGGTGGGCATATACACCGTATGATCCATTTTTATTATATATATATATATATATATATATATATATCCTGTAAATATATATTTTTCATGCTGAATGTTACACTTCACCTAAAAGAATATAATTGGCTAGTTCAAGTTCATATGACTGTGTTACCTATTCTTTACCTTTATTGCCTATATTAGCAACTCGATGTACAAGTTCTATGTTGAATCCAGATAGACAGACAGACAGGTATAAGCAAAATAGGTCAACTACATATTATATATAATCTCAATTTGCACCTATCTTCCACATTGTGTGAATTTAACCTTGTGTATGTGTGCTCCTATATCTTCCTTTCTCATGTTTCTCATGTTGTGTGTTTCACAGGGATCGTTCAATTCTTCACTACAGCATTAAATCCATCTCTCCGCTATTCGATATTCTTGCAGATGATAAACATATTTTTATGTCTTTATGTACTACCACTTATAAATCTTGTCAGTAGGCCAGTGCCACAGTTTTAATTTTTGTATTGTACTCATTTATTTATTTGTTTATTTTTCAATGAAGGTTGGTCAACTCACTGCAAAGAATTTTCCCAGTCCCCCTGATATGTCACCGTGTAATCCTTTAGATGAACACAGACAAGACTGTCGACAACATCAATTTCAATCCTCAGGATTGAATAAACCTATTGGAGCTGGGAAAAAGTCGAGTAAATACTCGAAACGATTAAGTCGACTCTTTCGTCATGAAAATATGATATTAAATCGTTCATACATGGTGAGTTATTTGTTGAAAATTGTTACAAGTATTTTTTCAAGTGTTAGTTTGTTGTAGGGATGTGAATTGTTTTCAATTTAATCATGGAGTGACATCAGTTGGAGACAGGAAGAGAGAGAGAGCACCTATTTACAGAATACTCTGATTCTAGTCGTTTGTTCCAATTTAGAGTATGAGGAACACTTGGACAAAGAAAAGAGGAACTAATTAAGTAGCATAATAGGACTTTTAACAGCAGCTGCTTTCTCTGGCTGCATACTGAAGATCATCAGATGACTGGTCAGAGAATCTAAGCAACAAAAACCCTCTAGAAACGAACCAACCAACAACCTATTGCTCAACAAGTATATGCCGGGGAAAACAGAGATGAAATGAACACATCCTGAGGAGGTTTTCGGGTGACATCGTGAGCCAGACAAATCTTCGACTGGAATCCAAATGGGGAACAACGAGTTCGGTCTTGGTCTGACGGTGACATGAAGGATATCGTGTGAGAGGAAGGGAAGGGAGCTTGCGGTCAATCATGGAGTCAACTGAAGAGAACAGGCCAACACGGGAGATGCACTGTGGAAGCCGTATGTTCCCCATGGGATCCCAAAGGAATAATTATAACAACAGAAGGTTATTAGTTTATTTTGTTGGTTATCGTCAACTGCATACAACTTGATGTTATCCAAAACACGCTTACAAAGACTTGTTAGTCTTGCCTTTCTAACTTATTCTTCGTATATTGAATTACATAACACTGGTGGTCTCAATCTTCGTGTTATAAATAACTGAAGTATGTAAATATTTTGTGTGTATAGATACTACTATAAGTGTTTAAGGTTGTATGCAGTTGTTCACAAGATGTGACCAAATAAGGTGTGATATCCAATTATTTTCAATCGTTGGTTTACAGGGATCTGGTCGGCTTCTTCAAGTTAACTTATGAAGTGATATAGGTTAGAAGGGAATTAAAAAAACGACCAGGGAGTTTACCAGATATCTGTTTCGTCCTAGTTTGCGACCCTTCATCAGTACCCTTCCTTGACTACACCCATGACTGTCAACCCAGGTCCTATGAGTTGCTAAGCGAGCTTATTTGTTACTTGAACATTGGTTCCTCCAACTGATATCATTTCGAGTTCTCTTACCTGAAATATCAGGTTGTTGTTATTGTTCTTATTTTGTTCAAGTTTATCCACAGGAAATAATTGTTTTGGCGGTCAATAATGAGTTGTTGTCATTCAGTCTCATTATAACTATTTTCCATTTATCTTAAATGTTTGTATAGGAATTAGTTGGAGCCGGGGATGCTAAAGGAGCGTTATTTAAGATTTGCGGACAAACTGACTACAAATCATTTTCTCAACTTTTATTTCTTAGGTAAGTTACACTTATTTCTGAAAAAAAGACCTTGTTTGAAGTAGTAGTAGTAATAGTATTTGTTGTTGTTGTTGTTGTTATTCGTTCTTTGGGTTCTCTGTTAGGTAAAGGGGGCACCTCTTCATTGCTCTTTCATTTCCCTGCTGTCGTTTCAGTTTTTAACCGGTTCTATGATTACTATTGTGGTGAGTGCTACTTATAATCAGATGTCTGTCTGTCTGTTTTCGACATAGAACTTTGCACAAATGTGCGGAAGTTCAAGTCGCCACATTCCGTGTAGCACGCGAAGCAAGAGAAGAAAGTACAAGAAAAGCTTAATAGAAACAGTGAGCAGAGGTGTGAGACAAAGGAGTAATAAAGAAATACAAAATAGTTTCATTGGAGATCATAAGTCAGAAGGAGTGGATGCATCTGCGCCACTGAGAACGATTTTGAGCCATGTCACCAATTGTTTCCGACCATAGAGTTTAACCGTCCCGAGGACCTCAACCTGTAAGGCTACACCTTCCTACGTGGCTTAGACCAACTGTTGTGGATTTCATTGACTGGTGCCAAGTTTTTGTTTGACCACCGCTAGCTTTTTTCCAGCCTGACCCTATATCCGCTAACATTGCTCGTCGAGAGAGGCGATGGCTTGGCATACGTAACACATGTCCTAACCATCTCAGTCTTTGTAACTTCACGACTTCGTCGATTGATTTCCCCTGTTTACCTAGAACTCTACGCCTAACCTCAATGTTGCTCACCTTATTATACCACTTTACACGGGAAATAGAGCGGAGGCACCTATGATCAAAGACAGCTAGTCTTTTCATGTCTTCCACTCTCGGTGGCCAGGTCTCACAGCTGGCCATAAAGGAGGACGGAGCGGACTGATGAGCAGTACACCCGCCCTTTGGTCGATAGTCGGATATCTCGTCTACGCCAGAGACGGCGTAAACTGGCAAATGCGAAACGAGCCCCCTGTATTCGTGCTGAGATTTCGTCAGGGATCAACCCGTTGGCGCTGGCTGATGGTACTTCCCAAATGAGTGAAGCGGTTAACGTGCTCTACCACTTCACTTCCTATTTTTAAACTAGGCGTCGATGTAGTCCAGTCCTGTAACATCATCTTGCATTTGGCGGGAGCGAATCACATGCCAAACATTCGCAGATTGCGGCTCAAGGTGTTTAGAAGACTCTGCATTTCGTCAGCGTCTTCGCCTAGAAGGACTATATCGTCTGCATATTCCAAGTCAACGAGATTATTCCCCGGTAGCAAGTCAATCCCTGAGTCGCTGAAGTCACCTAGGGTTAAGTCCATTAACACATCTATGATGAAGTTGAATAGAAAAGTGGATAATGGGCATCCTTGACGGACACCACTGGTCGTCATCAGTTCAGATGACAGCTCGCCGTAAGTCCTCACCTGGCTGTATGAGTACGAGTAGAGTGCCTTAATCAGTACAGTATATTTTCTTGGAATTCCCTTTACAGCCAAGCATCTCCAGAGAACTTCCCGATCGACAGAGTCGAATGCTGCCTTTAGGTCAAGAAATATAATGACTGTTGGACGCCGGTAGGAATTCCTATGTTCTAGAATCTGTCGGAGGGTGAAGATATGATCAATACACCCTCTTCCTGGTCTAAAGCCTGCCTGGCTCTCTCGTGTTTGTGCTTCCCGAGCACCACTCAGTCTACGCATGATTATTGAGCCTAAGACTTTAGATACTATATTAGTCAAGCTAATCCCTGTGTGATTATCACAGGAAGACTTGTCTTCCTTCTTGTATATGGGGATAATCAGTGACTTACACCAACCCGATGGGACTTCTTCTGATTCCCAGACGCTGCCTAGTACCTCAGTTAATGCAGACAGTAAGCTGTCTCCACCGTACTTAAATACCTCTGGAGTCATTCCATCAGGTCCCGCTGCTTTGCCTAGTTTCAGATTGGTGACAGCTTTAGTAACCTCAGTTAGGGATGGAGGACCTATGTTTATATCCCATTCAGGGAGGTGTTGGATGCTCGGAAGGTTGAGCGTGGCTGTGGGCCAATTAAACTGCTCCTCATAATGCTCTTTCCAACGATCCAGTCGTCTATCCTGGGAGCTAATTATAGTGCCATTTTTTTCCGAGATTGTCTCACTGATGATTTGTCTTCTCCCACCCGTTTCCCTGATGAGTCTAAAGAGTTGCCTGGTGTTGCCTATCCTCGAAGCTTTCTCCATATCTTTGGCTTTTGTCGCCCACCACTGTTCACGGTCCTTGCGGAGACTTTTCGTAAGTTTCCTCTTGTGCAGCTTTCGCTCCTCATTGAATTCGGAGTTCGCCGAAATAAGTCTTCTAGCATCTATCAGTTCGGATGAGGCGGTGGAGATCCAGTGGTTTTTACTCACCTTTGGATTTAACTTATTCACAGCTTTTACAGCTGTATCTATGGCTGCCTGGATATTTTTCCAAGCTTCTTCAGGGTGAGCACAGCTGTCGAACACAGATATGTGTTTAGCTAGTTCTTCCTGAAATACGGATTTAGTTTCCTGATCGAGCTGGGGACGTGATGGTTTTACCGCCAGCTGTTTCCTACGTCCGTTCAGTCGTAAGCACACCCGAGCGCGGACCAGTGCATGGTCGGTATCTACGCGCGTGTTCCAGAAGGAGCGACAATCTCCTACCGACCTACGCCAACGATAGCTTATTGCTATGTGGTCTATTTGTGTCCAGCGTTGGTTTGATGAAGGGGGTCTCCAAGTCAAACAGTGTCTCTCCTTGTGTTTAAAGTTAGTGCTTACAAGAAACAAATGATGATCAGAGCAGAACTGTAGGAGACGGTCACCGTTGTCGGTTCGCTGGCATGGAGCTCCATAGGTGCCATCGACATCCTTCTCAGATTGACACAATTTCCCTACTTGAGCGTTAAAGTCACCAGCTAGAACGACTATGTCTGAGCGTTTAGCCTTTCGCACCAAACTAGACAGCTTTTGGTAGAACACATCCTTCGTTTCATCTGAACTGCAGTCAGTGGGGGCGTAGGCGGAGATTACGAAAAGGCATCGGCGAGTAGTGCAGTCCTTCCTCCTTCTTACTGATCCGTTCAGGCGGACAGCACACATTCGGCTATCTACCGGGATCCAGTCAAGCAATGTCTTTTCTGCCCTAGTACTCAAAGCTATCCCTACGCCAGCTAATCCTCGTGAACTAGCTGTGGCATCTCCTGACACCCTCAAGGTGAATTTTGCAGATTCAACCTGTTGGCCAGGTGGGGTTAGGTGAATAACCACACTTGGGTCTTGTATGCGTGTTTCTGAAACACAACATACATCAATGGCTCGTGATGCCAGGGTCTTGGCTAGTGATGCTTGTTGTCCTATTTGGCAAAGTGTCCTAACATTAAGAGCTCCTATATGAAATTGGTGGCGCGGCTTTAAGAGGCTGTCGGTGGTGGTTTTTTGGCTTCCATCGTTTTTAGTGGACGCAGAGTGGAGAGGAAGTGGAGAGCTATCAAGTCGAGGAGTTGCATCAGTGGAAGGAAGGCAAGATGATAGAGATGAAGATGAAGACAAAGATGAGTGAGTAATAGAGAGGTTTCGTGTGCATTTCGGATTGTGAGGGCGATTGTTACTTCCCGGCTGCCCACACCATCGAAGTTGGTTGCGTGACCACAGAGCCCAGGGGACAACTGCTTGAGGCCGATCACACGCGGCCTGTTTTTGTTCGTTCTTTTTTGTTTGGTGTGTCTCAGTAGCAGATTTATCACTCCTGCCCTGTGACACGGCAGCAGCAAGCGCGGTCGTTGTTAATCCGGGCCACGGCCGATCCGGCATGAAATTTTGTGTTTTTGTATTGGACATGATGTTGGATTGGGTAGCTGCTTTTTGTTTAACCGCTATCCAGACAACCTGCCTGGCATGGTAGTACCTCAAGAGACATAAGTCTCAGCCAGTATAGCTTGAATAGATCATTGCGGTGTGCAAGCCCGACCACCACGTCAAGGTAGCAGCTTTCGGTCGGATATCAGATATAAGTAGTATATCAGTAAACGAATTCAGAAAAGTAACAATATGTTTCGGACACTGGAAAAAGGCAATCGAAGTAGAGAACTGTGAGAAGAATGTTTCAAACGCTGTACAGAATCTAACAAGCTATTGAATTTGGTGGGTGATATTCGACCAATTTGCGAATGATATGCAATGAGAACATTGGTGATATGATGCGCTAAATTTATGTACCTACAGTAAGCTTATCCTTTAAGCCTCATCGGTCTTTCCTTCCTTACACTACTGTTCATATAATATCTCCTGTGTCACCGCCATGTACTCAATTCATCGTTTCAATCGACATTCGTTTCATATGGCGTTTTATATGGGCTATAGTTTCTTGTCTGGATTGTGAACGGGAAAAGACAAGCGACTTAGTAACGGAAAACTACATCAAAAGTTGACTTTTTTAGCCATATTTATGGCCGACACTAGGTCAACGGGCAATAAACTGTTTTGACTGGCTGATGATTTTCTGAAAGAAAGTGAAACCTTGAGATGATTTCTTGACCAAGATGTAAGCTGGATTTGACAGATTTGACAAATAAATGCTTCTGTTGTTTTCAGTTTTGACTACTTTCTACCAGTCAACGTCTGTATACATGCTACTGATAAATCTTGTCACAGTAGCACACGCTTGTGTCATGTTGTTCACATTAAGTGCATGAAGTGGTACCACTGGCGTGTGCTACTCATAAGATTTATCAGTAGTATACATAAATAAAGATGAATATGAAGAGTTGGTCGTTGGCATAAACATCAATTAGCAGGGGGATAGATTGATTGGCTGTCAACCCAAGAAAGCAAATGATGAATGATGCAGTGTTGCTTGCGGAGATACATGGGAAACGTGAAAGGAACACAAAAATAACGTAACATAAGGGCCAGAAGTAGCGGACACAACACGGAAGATCTGTGCAAAAGGTGATTTGTGAAGATAAGGTGTACGTAATTCCCCCATATAGATAAAGATTCCGTATTCCAAATAAATATTCCTTTACTAAGTGTCTTATCTTCTGCCGTTACAGTACCTCTGCGTATTAACACTTTATACAAGACACCGAACTGATTTCTTCTGGGTCTTGTGTAGATATGCTGTATTGGTTCAGGCATAATTAAACATTTGGTCGATTCACTGAAAAGTGTTCAATTTCATCCTGCACTTGTCAAATATGATCATGCCTGTACAAACGGTATGTGAATCATGTAAATGCTT